AACGATTGTCATTGCGCAACGATAACCGTTCGTTAAATAATCGAGCGATCTATGTTCTAAAATAGATCCTTGTATTCGTACGTGGTCTGCGTAGAAATTATTCTACGAAAAGTCGTTACGCCCGATGTCCTTTTAGCATCGAGCAACGGCTAATTGCGTATCGCGGCAGGAATCGATCCTGCTACCGTTTCGAGGGTGAACAGAGAACGAAAAGAGCAGCCAGCAGCCAGCGTATCGCTTTATATATTCGAAACCGGTCAGGGCTGGCGAGAAAAGACACGCGCGGGCGACTTTCGCGATTGATCGGCATTTTTCGCGGACACCAAATAATATAATGGCTTTCACTTCGCGCGAGCCGGAAAACTAGCCGGCCGTGATACGGCTCGAGAGGAATACGCGCCAAAACCAAGCTAATTAGGTTCCATTTAATTACCGTCTCGCGTTCATCCGCCGACGTTGAATTAAGTCATCCTCGCTCGCCCGTTTTTCCCAGGGTCGTCGTCGCGTTTTCCCTTTTTCTTTTCCGTTGTTTTCGCTCCCCGACGCGTACGTTCCGTGACTTAGCATTGAATCGAGCCGCGCGATCAACGATAAATCGCCTCGAGGGCAGAAAACTATCAGATTGTAATATAAATAAGCTTTATTGCGAGTATAAATATGTTACGATTCTGACAATTCTATTCGAATGGTATTAACCAACAGCCTATCAAATGGGATTAATTAATAATGAATGGATAATGGAATTCCTATTATATGCGAAGCCTGAAATTCACGTTCAACGGTCAACTTCATAATTATTGAATGGTACAAATATACTTGATAAGAATGGATCGTAATATCAAGGGTAACGAAAGCAGTGAAGGATAATTCGATTTTGTCCAAGGGGTGAAACTACCCTTAATGGTGTGGGGGAAATACCTGATTAAAGTAGAATAAAGTATATCTCAACAATCAAAATGTAAGTAGTAAGTACCGCCTATGGACAAACCTTGTCCTTGGAATCTATCACGGATTTGGTCTATGTAGACAAAAATTTCGCCCGTATCGAAACGTTATGCTCGTCAGTTTATTGAACGCGAGCTGGCAATTTTTTTATGCGAGCTATACAGCTACGATCGGTGGTTGCGCAATTATGTAGATCGAGCTGGCTCCGGACATTGTGGAATAACGTTATCTGTGTGCGAATACAGGGTGTTCCGCTCGAAACGGCTCACCTACGTACAGAGAATACTAAATATACAAAGTATAAAATAAAAATTGTATGTATTAATTGACAGAAGGATCATTATGTATGCTTCTCCTTTATAAAGTATTTTTCCTTATCCTTGCGATTGCAAGGGATTAAATGGTTTGTTTCGTGCAAAACACCCCATATATTTGAGAAAACTCTGATATGGTAATGTGGAAACGGCGATGTCTCCTCTTTGCTCCGTAAAAATGAAAATGAGATCTGTGTTACCGGAGATTCTGACGAACGATACTGATTACGTTCATGGAGTCGGATCATGTGCTTCTATTGATAATAGCACTTTTACGGAAGGAGTTCCGTGCAAAAGTCTATCTACTATCGATGTGCCCGCTTTCTAACGTTGATCGGCGTCCAAAGTGAAATTTGTGCTTCTATTAATAGTATTAGTTATTATTATCTAAGCTTGGAGTTCAAGTTCGGCTTCTCGAAAAGAAATCACATGGTTTGGACTTAACTTTTGTTGTACAATATGAAAAATTACGACAAAATTTAGGGTATGTAGTTATCAATTGTATAGACGTATAAATGCCTAAGGAATAATTTCATACAACTTTGCCAAAATATAATGCAATTAGAGGATTGAACTTAGCGTTTCCACCAATGTTCCCAAAGTACATGGATTCTAGGATTCGAAGCCCTACAGAGTCCTATTGAGGATTACCTTTGCCCAAACTGGCGATCTCGTAATCTCAGCTGACGCGGGATTCAGACGAATTGCACGAACTCGATGAAGTCGTCCCTAAATCACTGGCTCAAGATTCTCTAACTATCACCATAGAAACATTTGGACCTAGCGATGAGATTGGTTTGCTCCGGAATTGGACACAATATTAGAAAATCAATATCAAACGTTCAACGTGTTCTGATATTTTAAAAATTGGAAAAAGAGTGTTTATCGGAAATAATAATAGATTTCAACTTGCATATCGTTCTCTAATTTCCGACATTTTCATGTTTCCTAAACATTTTATTTTTCGATAGCAATATCGTCGCTGGTTTCGTTTCCAATGGGAATTGCAAACAGGTACAAACTTGATGCAATTGATACGTATCGATACGACAGTCGCGTGTCTCAATAAGTCTCAAACCGTTCCTGAACATTCAATTCAATGGATTGATGCAAGAGAATTAATTTCTGACGTCACGTATGCGCCCCAAGCGCTACCATCGAAAGGTGCTATAGAGATACATCGGAGTTTAGAGTTTGAAACGGTCGCTCTTAATCTGTCCTAGCTCACGTCATAGTTTAAGATTCTTGATCTGTTTAGGGTCACAGTACAATTTAGAATATCGATAATCTCAATCAATCGTTACCAATGTCTCGATCCTCTAGTTTGTAATCAACTTTGATAAAATAGTAAAAATTATAAGAAACAAACTCAGAACAAAGTACTTCAAAATCCCAATATAAATACTCCGATAGACATTAATTGTGAATTTATTATACATATCAGGAAGGAGAGCATTAGCTACTAATGATCTCTAATTATTCATTGAATAATGACCTAGCAGTGTATATATATCTCAAACTATAACGATCAGATTACCACTATGAGAATATTTGTCCCTAAAAAATAGTATGTCCTCTTTTCGTTGGTATTGAGAACGTAATTAAGTGACAGCAAAAGGGACTTTTACCTATCGTATGAAACTTCGTTGGCTAAAATTCGCGCTGCGAGATCTCAGTCCCATCGCTACTTGACCGTTTAACGCGTCGAGTAACCGGGATCCCAAGAGTAACTTCGTTTCGGAGCGAACGACACGGTCGAACCCGTAATTCAAAATTATCGGCCGACGGTGGAAAGCAACCCTCTGGACGGGAGCTCGATCTTATTTCCAGGCTCCCGCATAATGCAACGTGGCAGCTGGAATTAGTAGGTTGAGGTAATAAGTAACGAGCGACGGCGGCGACGGTAGGCAATTTATTTAGAAAAGAATTCAGGTTTCTTGAGGCTATTCAACGACCCGTAATTCCAACTCTTTAGAACGTTTCACGTTCGCCACTAACGCGAAACTCCTTTTCGATGCGAGGACCTCGTTTCCACGTAACGAGCGGGCCATAATCTGAACCGCGCGTGTCGCCATTCCTGGACCCACGTTTTTTTCCCTCATTTTTTTTTTTTTTTATTTGCCTTTCTTCCTCCAGTCCACAGACGATAAAAATTTTTCGCTCAACGGGCCGTAGGAAATCCTCCGCGCCTCGGGGATTCGGTCGCCCTCTCGGTCGTCGCGAATTCGCGCCGAGATCTTTTTCGTGTAATCGACAGTTGCCACAGATCTTTCGTTAGGAAACGAATGCGTTCAAGGGCTAAACGTGTGTTACTCCGACAGCCAGAGTTCTCTGAGACTCTGAGAATAAATTGTACTTGTCAGTGGAGGACATCAGTATACTCGGGTTCTCGATGATTCGATGTTGTCAGACTTTTCACCTGGGAACATAGAGATTTTCAGTCAGTAGAACACAATTTCCATAAAATTGTTGCGTGGCAATTAGCCCGTTCGGGCATTACTATGCAGATCCGAGTTAATTTTTGCTTATCCTTTGAATTATCGAGGATTTGCAAGGGGACATGAGTAAATTTCGTCGAAGATAAATCATTATTTAATCCTTGCGAGCTAAACATAACGCGCACAGTATTTCGTATGACGTTTACGAATGAGTTTATAGTTTCCTTCGATAAGAATAAATAATTTATATGAGACGAGAAAGGAAGAGAGAAAATTAAATATCGTGGATTATTGTCGAAACAAAAACTGATTTTCTATAAAGTGTGACCACATATGGCGCACGGGAACATGGAACGAGAAATCATTGTGTCCCATATATAGAGCACGAACAGGGAAAGGATTAAGAATCAGTGGCCCGAAGTCCAAGGCCTGATACCTTACGGTTCAGACGGACGACAGTAAATCAATCCTGGAGAACCAGAGAGACTGTGCTTGGATGCAATTCTGATTTAGGGATTAGAAGTTTCTAAAATGACCATTCCGTTATTAGCAATCGAAAATGATTATGGAAACAAACTCTGCGTTTCGTCCAGGATCTGACGATTGGATTTTGATCGATTCTAGCTTCAAATTACTTTGATAGAAACATCAACAACAGACTAAAGATCTCATCAAACGGGTACAATCGCGTCACGAAGATCGCTCAGGGCCAGGTCGTACAATTTCTACCGCGTTAGATGCAATTTCGAAGGTACCGTTGCAAGGTGTTCTGCATCGATCGAGGAAGATTCAACCAATTGGCCAGTGCAGGTGCACCACGACCGGGAAGAAGCCCAAGAACCGCGTCGAAGTCTCGTGTGACGTTCTCGCGGGTACGGCGTGCACCACGCCTGCACGAGAGAGCTGGATAACGTAGGTGACCAGGTAACCCGGGTGGTGCCTGGTTGCACTTGGTGCGGCCTGTGGATGCCTGAGCGCGTAGGGCAAGATGGTGGGGCGGGTGGAGTAGGAGGCTGTTCGTTAGACACGGCCGAAGCCGCGGTGTACCCCGCGAGCAACCTACAACAAGCAACCTCTATCGACGGGCGCAAACGGGGGGAGCCCCCCTTTGGCCCCAAAGCAGCTGGTGGGACTACCTTCGTCTATGCCTGGCCGCTAGCACGGCGTGGATTATAGTTTTTCTGGGGGGAGGGTGGTGGAGCGCCTTGCTTTCGAAAGGATGGTGATTGTGGAGCGTAGCCAGAGTAGAGTTAGGCGTATATAAGGCCCGCCGGCCCGGCCCAAGTCAGTCATTCACCGGACTACCAGCCCACCACACACACACCAAACATGAAGGCCTTTGTGAGTATCCACCACAGGGTTGGTGATTCAACGGGGTGTTCTCGATCCGGTATCCGAATGTTCACGGGTTTTCCGCGGCGTTCGCTGGTTTCTTTTAGAAATTAATCGTTGGTTCTACAACGTGTTCCAATTCAACAGTGTCTGAAACGTTCTCGCTTTCCACCGGGATAGATCCGCGGTAGAGATTAATATATTTCCTTGTGATTCGATCGGATAGCACGAATTTTCTTTCGCGACTTTTCTACACGATTCCTAACGGTCAAACGTCTCGGGATACAAGCATCGTTCTTTCCCCGAGACGTTAGCTCGCCTAGCCAACGACGGACGGCAGCTACTCGATCGGATGATAAATCGGCCTAATCGGTATCTCTCGTTACTCCGCTGGCTAATGTTATGGCTAAATACTCGCGGTGTTCCTGGGTTTCGAGACATCGCGGCGGCAGACCGGTAACTCAATGTCACGGCTCGGATACTCGCGTCCTTTTTGCTCCGCGGGACGAACAAACGGACAGACTTTGCCCTTCTTACGCGTTCCATTCATGCAACAAGAAGTCTATCGTTCCACGGTACACTGACCGCGTCGCGAAACCGGTTGTAGTAGTATCATCGTCATTCAGTAACGACCGGTTCTCTACCCTCGGTGCATCTTCATTCACGAATACCGTCTGACGTCGATAATCCGCTCGCTTTTACTCTCGTTAACGTCTCCCGGATGACCTCTTCGAATTAGCTCGAATCGGTTTTTAAACAATACCGTTTCTCGCCGATTTATAGCGATAGATTGACCCGACGGTCCGAAAACCACGATCGAACGTCGTCGTTCCTAAGCTGCTTGCGCGATTGATGCAAAGTGCGCTCGGAATCGTTTCGAAATCGTCGGTGTTCCGATCGCGAGAACTCTCGGTCGACTACGTCGCACGGGTGCCTCGTTCCGCGTAAACGGGATGTGAAAGTTTCGCCAAGTCGTTGGATATGCATAATACCAGGTCGACACGGTGCCATTTAAGTGCAACTTAAGTTTCCGATCTACACGCTTCCAGCGTTCGATCGTTCGCGATTTTCTCCGATCGATTCGCGGTACATCGCGACCGGTCGTTTCCAGCAACAGGAAGAAAAATCGCTGTCTAGAATTCTCCAAGATTTCACGAAATAAATCACCGAGAACTCGGGTTTCTTAAATACGACGCGTTCGATTAATTAACGAATCCCCGCGGTGCACGGTTAAACCTACGATTACGTTGATTCTCGGGCATTAGGCACGCGATTGCATAAAATGCTAACCGTTTGGACGACGGGGCAACCCGACGGAATTTCGTCCCCTAATATGGTCGTTAGGCGTGGTAACTGGCTAACTCGGATGGTGGGGGCTAGCCTTTGGACACGGTAGCGCGAAAGCGTAATCGGTTCGCGATCTCAGCGATTGCGAAACGTTACGTTTTGCGCGTTTTCCATCGCGTCGGATTCATCGGCGCGTCGCCGACAGTTACGAAACACCCGCGACTCTATATTAACTGGAACTGTTGCGTCGGTGCTTTCACGCTCGACGCGGTCGAGAGGCGATTGGGATCGGTTTCCCGGGTGACGCGGAATCGTTTCCCGATGTCGTGGAACTCCGCGCTAGCCGTCCATCGAAAGTGAAAGTCGCGGTTATGTTATACCCGGGGCACGTGGTAATCGACTAGCAGCCAATGGGAGTCTGGATCCGCGGCGATAGTTATGACTCTTCCGTAAACCGAGATTGTTCGTCTTCGTTCTGGTCGTTTTTTTCCGCCGGGTGATTTCACCCGGTTCGATATTACCGCGGCTTTCGCGGCAACCGATCGACACGGTGGAGGCAACCACTTGCTTCCGAGCAAGGATGACGATTACGAGGAAGGATCGTTGACGAATCGACCTGTTCCCTGTCGCAGCTTGTGTTCACCTGTCTGGCAGTAGCGACGGTACGCGCCGGAATCGCCCATGGAGGTGGCATTGCTCTTGCCGGAGGTCATGGCGGCATCGGCTATGGAGGAATCGGAGGAGGCCTGGGCATCGGCAGAGGTTTGGGAGGAATTGCCAGTGGCGCTAGTCTGACTGGAGGACTCGCCGCGGGTGCGGGTACCGCGAATGCTCTCCAACAGAGCGGAGCGTCCAGCTTGGGATCCGGTGGACTCGGTGTCAACTACGCTGCTGGAGCCGCGTCGGCGGCTGGAGCTGCTGGTGTACAACAGATCGTCTCTGGTGGTGCGTAACGAAGCGGATCGTTTAGTTACTGGGATTACCACGAGACGTGTTCCATTCACGGTGGGATTGGTTTGTTCTCGCGCAGGAGTGCTCGGAGGCAGGGCTGACATTGGCTCCGCCGAAGGACCCAAGGCTAACGTTGGACCCCAGACCGGACCCTCTGACCTGGTTGGACCCCAAGAAGGAGCCAAGAGCGTAGGTGGACCTCGTACCGGACCATCCAGTCTGATCGGTGCCGCTGCTGGCCCCACCACTGTCCTTGGTAGCTCCGGTGGTACCGCCACCATTGTTGGACCATCTCAGGGTACGGCTAACCTGGTCGGACCATCCAGCGGTGGTGTCAACTTCTGGGCTGGAAGCGGAAACGTGAACGGTGACGACGGTAGCTCTGGTGCTGCTGCTGCTGCCGCGCCCGCCGCTGCTCTCGGCGGTGGTGCTCTTGGCGGTGGTGCTCTCGGTCTCGGTGGCGCTGGTCTGTATACACATCCGATCGTTCACAACGGATCAACGAATTAGATAGATCGTTCTCTATACTTAAATTTTATAATTCCAGGTGCCATCGCTGTCGTTGGTGGTGGAGTAGGAGGCATCGCTGGTGGACTCGGCGGACACGACGGTGGTGTTGCTGTGATCAACGGACCGTCTGGCGCCATCCACGCCGGACTCGGCTCCCACGGAGCCATCATCCCCGGGGTACTCGGCAAGTACTAGACGTTCTAAGGCCCCAGCGATCTCGGCTCGGCGACGGCGGCATTCCCACCACAGTCACATACCGGTCTCAAACGATCCTCAAACGCGCTCAACGTCTTCTTCCCAAAGCTTCGTCCAACCTAGGAACATGGTCAAAGCGCCGGCGTTAGTGGTGTAGTCGGTATATAGTCGGAATATTAATCGCAGTCCAGTCGGTATATATCGAGACACGGTGTAGCGCGAGCCGAAAGCCCGACACGCTGACCCGTGCCATCGATCTCGGGTTTTGGATAACCTCGTGGAAAGTGGAAACCGCGGCCCAGGCCATTCGTGATCCGTGGTTCCGTTTCGACCACTCCCTTTGTCGACGCGGTCCGTTCCCGTCGTCAGACAGGCCAGACGGACCAAAGTTTAGTCAATTTCGTTTTCATCAACTGTACGCGACGGAGGACAGCCGAACGGAGCCGCGATTGCCAGCCGCGATTCAAACTGCCAGCGACGCACGACATCCATCCGTTCGCGATCAACAAGGTGACACAAACCCTCTCAAAACTGATCGGCATACGCGTCGAGCGATCGAAGCTTTCGCAACGAAACGATCTGTACCGCGCCAAACTCGAGTCAACGGCAAGCACGTTGAACCCGGCTGCCCCCCGCCATGGACCCAGCGAGTGGACAAGCTTTGGCGCTTCGTCGTTGGACCAACTGGGTCTGTTCTGTTTTCTGAACACCCACCGTTGCTCCGGCAGTACACACTCTATTTTTTTTTCTCTCGCGTCTTCCACCATCCAGCAAAGGCCGCCGCTCTTCACACATATTTACTACTCTCTCTTTTTTTTCTTTCTCCTCTTCCGATGAGCCGCGGGACCGATCCGTCCGATCGCATCCCGCTCGCTCACAAGTTGTTATACTCACTGCCGCACTCAAGCATACATATTATTATTACATTACTCGTCCATGCGCATATATGTTTTCTCTTTATATATATATACATGTATACATACTATTACTACTATTCCTTCGCGTATATATATATATGAACACATTGCCACACGCGCGCACACACACTATTGCTATATGTGTACTCGTATATAGACACACATTACACATATATTATATAATCGTGTTATATGTTAGTGAAAGAGAGAGACCGGTAGATTATGGTAGGTCAGCCCTTCCCGTGAGTGAATGAATGTAAATAGATGGCGCGCCGCTGCCGGCCCCCGACCCCGCCCGCCCTCGTCATACCCTTTCTTTGCGATCACGACTAGCACCCCACCACCACCATAGATAGATACCACATATTTATAGCGTTTATACATTTATACAATACTTTATATAAAATAAAGCATCAGTATTTAAAACTCACTCTCGATTATTTCATTGCCCCCTAAATCGTCGTTCAACCTCCATCCGAAGAACAAAATCGCAACGATCTGCTTTCCCTCTTTGGAACTGCATCTCGCTCGTCTACCTACAATTCAATCTGAATTAGCAACGTGTAAACACTTATTACCAATTTATTACGATCGAACCAATCCTATTTCAATTACAAAAGCTGCTGGTAATACTTTATTAAAGAAATTGCTTACTTGAAAATTAACGACAGTTATTTATTCGAAAATAATTATTATACCGTTATGATCGATCGTATTTTGCTTCAATGTCTAATTATTAATCTTGATCAACGTATTTCCATTCAATATTTCAAGTTAAATTAGGAATAATCGAAAATTATATACCTATAAATATGAAATTAAAATCATAATTATACGTTACAGAGTGTTTTGTTATAACCATTCCTCTGCAACGTATAATACGATCTTAATTTCATATTTATCGGTTCATAATTCCCGATTATTCCGGGAAAGGCTGAAAAGCATTTGAATCGAAACGTTACGTACAAAATATTAAATATATTTATACCTTTCGATATTAATATTTTGTGGTTTATACGATATTGTCAACTGCTTTATAGTTCGATTAACTGCAATTTAAATTCATAACTATTTCGTCCTTCCATTCGAGGGCTGGGAACTCCAGAAACGCGACCCGAATACGACTTTCGATCGAAACGATTTGCGAAGAGCAAACAGCTTCGACGGGAACATCGTTCGATTCTGGCGAGCTCAAAAGGTCGTCGTCGTTTCCAAAAGTTTACACGTCGTCGTGCATTATCGATCAGCCTCTATGATTTAACGTCGCCGGGGCGATTATTCGACTCGATCCTTTCACGGGACGATGGAACCGACGTGGACCAGTCGTCCACGGGAGAGTTTGAGACAAAGATGAAGCTGCCGCGGAGCAAACGGAAGCTAGGAGTTACATTAATCGCTGTCAAGGAACTTCCACGAAATAAGGTAAGAATATTAATAATTCACACAAGATTATTTGATTGAAGTTTACTCTTTGGTTCGTCCACTTTCTGAAGTTCCTTCCTGCAACTTTTCAAATTTGAAATAGCTATCTATGTATTCGACTAACTTGATAATTTCACTAAAAGCTAAACATTTCTAAAAATAGAAATGTCTCGATATTCTACTCTTTGAACACTGTAAATCAACCAAATTCCATGAGACATCTTGTTTTAGATTTCTATAAGCTAATAAATTTTGTTTTGCATCTCTGTTCTTTCAATTACATTTATCCAACAAAACTGTTCGCCATCCATCGCTGTGTCAACGACCCCGATCGACATCAGCGCTTACTTTCCGCGCAACAGTTTGTAATTAAATTAGCTTCAAAAGAATAGTCTGCAACGAGTCACGAGTCTCGATTCATTAAACTTGGACGAGTAGCTCCCCTAATCAGAAGTCGATAAACTACGACGAAGGGCAATTTCCGTGGTAACCGGAGCACAGAATCGGCCACTTTACAGAAAACTTGCACAAGGATCGATCAGAGAGTGGAACTGACCAAGAAAGATATCCGTTCTCCCTTGAAACGTTTAAGGGGGCAGCCTCTAACGAAATATTAGACTCGAAATCGACCGCCTGTTGCTACGGTTCGCTGCACCCCGACCGTCCGGGTCTGGTTTGCTAATGACAGATTTGTCAAGAGCCGTCAGCTCGTTAGAAAGTTCCACGTTCGAATCGAAATTGCACGTTTACGCGCTAATGGCCCCCTAGCGTCGCGTGTCTCCTCGCCCGGAGTGAAATTTTCGACCATCGTGTCCCCCTTCTCGATGTTCCTTTTCCCATTCGTAATTTCCATAATGCAAATTGGACGAACGGTTAAGTGGCAATCGATCGACGAAGATTTACCAGCGTTTAACCTGTTTGGACGTCTGATCACTGAGAGTCGATGTTACTTAAATTGGTCCCTGTGGAAGGGTTAGATGTCAGACCCCGTTTCGTGAAGTAATACTTCGTTAGAGCTGCTCGAGAACATGGTACAGAAGGTTCTGTACTTGTAAGGAATATCAACCATCTGAAAATTCTTCGGAATTAAGCACACGAAGTAACGATGTTCGTGTTCGACAAGTAAAATCTACCCTTAAGTCGTGGTTGAAATTTATGTTGCTTTAAACGTTTCGAAAATTAATGGGGATAGTAAACGAAATTTAGTCGTTGACGAGAAATCAAATGCTACTGGATATATTGCATCATTCTTAATTGCAGTTGAGAAAGTATCAACCAGTCGCTGAAGGCCAATTTATCGACTATGAATCATATCAACCTATGGAAATGGGAAGCAGTTGGAAAACCAAACACTGTAAAGTCTTTCAAGATAACATTGGTAAGTAAGAGACCAAAGTCCCTTCACTACTAAAATATTAAAAATATTAAAAACTCTAGAGAAGAAAAAATGTACAAAAATGTCTAACATTGCAAATTTATCAATACGCGTAGATCACAACCAATGTGAGTACAATGCCGACCTCGTGAACTCGGAGCATGCAAATCCGCTGGAAGCGGAACCGTGGAGTACCAGGTTACGCGGACGTCACAAAGGTAACCCTAAGCCACGACGATAGTCTTTTGCGCGTTACGATGTACATGGTAAAACGATAATTGGTTCACCGATGATTACAGAGGAAACTGTTCGAGGCTTTTGTAAGCTGTACACGGATCGATAGAACGAGGATGTCAAGAGGAAGGACGAGAGTCGCTTTGTGGAATAATATCCAGACAGCCTGGGCGTTGCGTCCTTGCGTCAAGAACCTTTTAATCGAACAGGTTTTCGGTCAGAGAGCTTCGCGAAACAAACTCGAAACTCGGCCAACGCGTTTCGAACGCTGAATCGGATGATTCTGTATAAAGCCCGTATCCAGACTTTGACCTCGATGAAAATGCAAGCACGAAGTCGCTGACCAGATATGTTTGGCAGATATTTTGGATGATGAGACATCGGTCCTCCAGATAACTATCAGAGTGCATTGAAGCTCAGAACACGTTCGAAACATTCGCATTGATTCTCTAAAGGTGAATTTTCGCTCTTGCTGTTCTTATGTGAAATGTCATTTTCGATTCCATTAGAATACGAGGTGGGAAACAGTTTCGCGAAAGACCGCGAGATGCAGTGTGCTAGGCAGAAGAGCTTGGGAATCCCCGTTCGGGATCAGAAGTCGTATCCTCGATCTCAATCGAAAGTGCATTAAGGCTGATCGTCCGTTGCTGACCCATCATATTCGACGCAGGGAAAGAGGTTTGAACTTTCCAGCCTCGGTTGGCCACAAATACGGCTTTAACCGCCGCTAAAGGGGCTTTAAATCTTTTCCAGGTTCCCGAGCAGCGGGGAACTCGACGAACGAGACTACCCTGGCTCTGCAGTTGACCGCGAATAAAATAAGAGCCATTGAACGCGCGCTAACCCGCGGAATCCGATGGAACCTCTTCGCGAACGGCTCAGCCGATCGACGATATCACGAAGAAGGCAAAACGTGTATGTGTACCTTGCTATTTTCCACTAGCTTTTATTATCCCCTTCGAAAGTATCCATCCATCGATTCCCTATAACCGTCGGGCACACTGAAACCGGAAGCACTATTTCGTAGAAAATAAAATTTTCATCTCGCCTCGTTTCGACGCCAGACAGAATCGAGGTGACGGAATCGCGAACAAATTGTCATTTGCTACCGATAAACAATCGACGATTTTTACGCCCGATATAAACGATGAAATTCTAAACCGTGGCTAACTATTGGACCATCAGGAATGCCTGATATTTTTAAAATACCAACATCAACAATAGAGATTTAGATTTTTAGACTGATATACGACTTTTTATTTCCAGCAGCGAATGAAATTCCATCTACGATCGCTTCGCATTGAACGCATAAAAGCATACCGGAGATAGCTCGGTTACTTTCAAGCGGGGAACCCGTAGGTGCATACAAGCGGAGAATATTGACATTCTCAAGAAATAACTTCGTTATCTACGCCGAAGCAGTTCCCTACTAAATATAAAACTTCTGTTTGTATTTATCGACAGGATACTACGAACGTATGTATTAGTGTCGTGAAACCAGTAGCGTTTCCGTGTTCCGTTGTATATTCTGATCTGCTTCGCGTACGACAGTCATAAAATTGTGAACGTCCGTTGGATGAAAGATCGACTGGCGCGAAGCAAGTGAAACGGAAAAGAGTGAATATTAAAACGGTAAAAAGTATAAAACAAAGAGTATAGTAAAGCGAGAGTAATAAAGAAGCATTTCATTTTTGCGGTCGACGATACGTCAATATCCCATTCGCGTATACGTGCGTTTAGAACGTGTCGTTAACAGTTTAAGTGCTCTTCGAGCTGGAACTATTAGCGTTATTGGAATCGAAACACCTCCTGTAGTGTCACGGTAATATATTTTCACAAATGGACTCATTTTTGAACCGTTCAATAAAAAAAAGAAAAGACGAAGTCGACGTCTTCGTTGGTTTCTAAGAAAATGGCTTGCAACACTTAGTTCGAACCGCGTTGTGTATCTCATTCGTGACGACTCGATAAATCTGGAAAGTTGCGTTGAAATCAGGATGGAGATGCTCGGCAGATGTTTCGTGCGAGAGAAACGGGAGCATAATGGATACGTAATTTGATCAGAAACGGTGGTGAATCGTGCAGAACTATTTCGTAATTGCCGCCGATGGAAAACGAACGAAGACGTCGGTTGCATCGCGCGCCGTGTTTCTCGAACAGGCGTAGTCCTTTCACCATCGGGGGTGCGCTATTCCTACACGAGTTCCCAGAAGAATCTGCTCCGCGAGGCGTACGAGCCTAGGTTTTGCGGCCAAGGTCATTTCGTCATTGAATCTCCGATTAGATTGACGGTTTCAGCGAACGGAACTGCGCCGGTGGATGCGTTCCCGATTCCCATCTTGATTCTAGCGTCGATATCTCGCGTCCTCGTCTTTCGATTCCTCTCGAGATCAAATTCGGAAGGTTGCTTCCACTTCGAGCGATTAAGTTTGACCTTTAACTACTTCGAACGTGCGGCTACCATATTCGTTGCTAAACGCCGCGAATGGTATTTAGCTCTTTATTACCGTAACTCTGTTTTCCTTTTTCTTTATATTGTTCGTGTTACCGGCCATGGACTTTGTATTCTCGATGATATTTTTTTTTATTAACAGAATTATTATAATGTGATTTATGTATAATTCCTTCGACTTTGATACCGCTTCGGAGGTAAGGATAAATATTTCATCGACGAATGAATATTCCAGGCAATTCTTCGTACCTTGTTAGTATGCAAGATCATCAAAGTGTAATAATGAAGATTTTACGTTCGCGAATTAATTTCTTACTTAAGCGACGTATCGATCTGTTTTCTTGAGACTCTCTACGAGTACAAAATATTTACATCGAAACATCGTTTGAATAAAGAAGCAATATTCGCTTGTTCATTTTCATTTTAGCAGTAATCGGAATTAAAAATGTTCATTTAGGTAATATATCTCGTAAATGTATTCTATAACCAAATGAGTTTAGACAGCAATGAATTAGGCGATCCCTAGAAGCCTTCCCAAACTCACCAACGATCCTCGAGTATCTCTCAACTCCCCGCAGTAAACAGTGACATAATTTAATGACAGACGACGGACAACAGCTACTCCACAAATTGCAATTTAATTATGAACACGGTGTTTCGAATTAATCCACGCATCGTCGCGACGCCAAACGGCGTAAAAAGCTGCGTCATAATTATCCCGTTGCGGGCAATGAAACGCGACGACGCTAATAAAGTCACGAATTACTTGGACGTCGATGGCGCAAAAATGTTTCAACAGTTTCCACAACGTCGTCGAAACAAGGCAGCGTTTATGAGTGGACAGTGTCGTGACTCCGTCTGTTCCTGTATCATTTCCAACGAAGGAGGTATGCGTGTTCATACATAATTCAGTGTTTCATTCCGCCACCGATTACGTTTCCCGTTTATGATCAAACAAGTCCCGAACGTAGCGATGGTGGCTCGCGTAGATCATCGTTATCGTTTGGAAATGTAAATGCTGAGCAAGACGATAAATTAAGAGGTAGTAAACTACCGAAATTCCAACCCTCTTGCGACGAATTAAAAAATTTTACTCTCGAGCATTCGTGGATACATAAATTAACCATCCACTGAAGTGGTTCCCAAATTTTTTGGAAGACGTTCTTCAAAAAGAATTTTAGCGAATTTATTCTACGAGTTCTAAAGGAGCAGATAAAATTTGTTACATTAATATTGCAATTTTAAAGAACGTTCCGTTAATATTATTTACTGGAAATGCTATTTCGTTCAAGGAGGTAATCATTCGAACCTAATTTCTTCCCCAATCTTTCGCTTTCCCTTTCCCGGTGTTTCGATCCAAAATGGCTGACAGTGGCGGCACGAAGGGATCCCAAATTGGGAAACGATTCGGACACGTGCGACTTTTCGCTTGGTTCCGCTCGGAGCGCCTAGTAGGCTATTCTGCTCCCATAAGAATCCCAATGCATTGCGTCCGCACTGCGGCGCAGACAATGACTGTAAATGTCAGTCTCACCATTAGCATTGATCACGTTCAATCTCGGCCGTTCCTCCTCGATCGTTCTACGTAGCTACGAATTTCAAGACTCCGATTGCCCCCGCCACGACCAAACTTGCCGCCGATGTAATGACCCGTAAATCGTCCCGCGACTAATATCGCGCCAGAAATGGATGCAAAGGTCCCCGGCTCGCTACCGCGGTTCGTTTCATGCTTATGATCTTGTTTCGCTGCGCCGTGTCCTATTACGCGTGACGTTCTCACATTAATTCAACCGTGCGAAAATGTATGGCAAACACGACGAGATCGAGTCACCAGGGTCTCAGAACTGAGCCTGAAGCAATGGAAGGCGATCGAAGAGCGTTGGAGAAAGGTTGCTCGAAATTAATGGAGATACTGCCTTATAAGGCATTTAATTTCACAGCGTGCTACGTGATTCTATTTATTCGAACACGTAGCCAGAAATACAGGAACGCTTGTAAAATTATTAAAAAATTAATAATTCTTGTTAGGAAAAATCATTAATTTGTACAGGGCGTTCGTGGCACACAGAGTCAAAATAATAGCGGGGTTGTAAGAAGAGTATTCGAACAAGGCGGTAAACGCAATTTGCATCGTTCACGCGTGCCATTTTTATTTTCTCACGCCGCGATTCTTCAACCTCCGTGTTCCCTCTCGAAAAATCGTGGGCGGCGAACCGCGTCATCCTCGCGAGTGAAGCAACCGATCGGTTAGCCGAGCCAAGTCGAGCGCTAGCATTACGGGTGGGAAAGAGTCACGTTCTCAGGGATTAATACGGTTTTCTGCGCCACGTATCGCCTGCAGACGAAGTTACGGGCGTAAGCGTGTCGAGTCGAACGTGACCTTTACTCCATAGTCTCGAGGAAAGATGGGGATCTACACTACTCTGATTATCGCGCGCGGATCGATACACATTCGGATCTTGAAATTGCTTCCCGTTGACAGTGAAACACCGACGATTGTCGGATAACCTTTGGACAGCATTCTTTCGATAAATGTTACAACTATTTGAAGGTTTGCCAGGACCTAGAGACCGATAACTCAAATATTTAAATGTAATATTAATATTTAAATTATATTTGAGTCGACAGCAACTTTTGTACGAACACTATTAGAAACCCCACGGTGGAAAAATGTCACGCGCCACTCGAGCTTCTTTCTTTGAATTTCTTTTCATTTAAATGACACGGTACTTTCTTGAAAACGTAACAGCTTAACCCCTAGCGTGTCCTCGAGTAACATGAAATTAAAATTCGAGCACGATCCCATCGTAAGTCGCGCGTTATCCCCTAACTGCGCGATACTCGGGTTAGGCGTGCGCACGATAGAACATCGCTTGGAAAGTAGAACGAAAAAGCTGGTAGACTTTTTGTAATGTTCGAGGGGCAAAAAGCTACTACGAACTACGCACTTAAGGAAAGAATCTTTCTTTTAAAAAGAATCTATTATACGTAGGTGAAAGAATTTTAACGAACAAGTTGCGTGTAAAAAGTAGGAGGTGGAAGTATGGTTACACAAGGGATAGATTTATGCAACGTGTCTATAGATTATGGCAAATCACAGTGCAACTGAAGCGTTCGGGACAATCACACCGGGAAGTTAATGATCACGTTCAGTTATCCAGCTTATTTATCCATTTATCGCCGCGGTGAATCGCAGCTGATACTAATTACGGTGGTCTTGCATCCTCGTAATTGGCTCCTTTGTTTCAGAGGCTCGTTTCTAACGACGATGTCTTTATCCGTCGTGTCCGCATATTTCGCTATTACAAATTTGCGTTCCACGGTTCTTTTCCTAGTAAATTGTTCTTCCTACGTTCTTCGACCCTTTTACGACCAGACATTTTGATTTGTGGAGGTATTGCAACGGATGTCGAGAAATTATCGCATACTTAAAAATTACTTTAAATATTCGAACAATTTTCAACAAGCTAATACTAGCGACGCGTTTGTCAAGCATCCCTCGACGCGAGTTCAAAACGATAAAACTGTATTCCAATGTTGCCTGACACCAGTTCACGAAGGGGTTGATATACTGTCTTATCGATCAAGTTGTGGAGAAATCGCGAAGGAACGTAAAAGATCGCGGTATTCGGGGCACGGTAGGTCCGCGTTGAAGACGAAACGTTCTCACGGATGGTCGCGCAAAGCGATTCTAGATCGTTGCAGCGTGCACTGGAACGATGCAACTTCGTCCATTGACAATGGGAATACTGTTCTTCTTGGGGATCTCGAAAGTTACACGTGAATGACAGTTCCTCGTTACGAAGTTTTGTGGTATAAAGCGACTCGATCGTGACGTCCTGAAATCCATCCACGAGTCGCGTCAAAGGGGGGCTGAAAACTTTGAAGATCGGTACCGATCTTCTCTATCCAGTGGATGAGAAATAGAAACAGTTGGGCAACGCTTGTTTACGAAGAATGATGACTCAATGCTTAACGCGATGTGATACTTTTTTCCGTAAACTTTAACCCTTTAACGGCGCACCACGAATGTCTAACAGAGGAATATATACTACGACAAAATGTGAACGCGTTAAAAATTTTTTAACGTAACGATAGATTATTTTTATATCGTACAGGTAGAAACAAAAGTCGAAGCAAACTAAAATGTTGCTTAAATTGAGAAAACATACAAAAGGACGATACGTAACCCACCCCTGGGTAGATCAAACAGTCTCTGTTTTCATTCTACATATTTTGCAGCTAATAGTTCGACTATAAATCTCCTTTTGCAAATCTCGATGGAACTCATCCATCATCCCGCGGCTCTATTTTCACGTTCGAAAACCTAGTCTGTCCAGTGAACGAAAGAGAGGTAGTCACGGTTTTAGCTCGATCGTGACGAAAGACGGCTCAAGAGTAAGTATTGTAGAGTAACAATGGCAGGAAAAAAGTGTTCTCCAGATTCCTTACAGAGCGAAAATTAACTCTTTCTCAACGTTTGGCCGCCGAAGGTCAGCCAATGGGACACGGCGTCCCGAGGGTGGGTGTGCCGGATGACGGTGACCTTCTTGCACAATGACTGAGGCTGCACCATCAGCGGATATGATTTGAAGGGATCAACGGGGGCGCGGTCGGGATCCTAGAGAAGTATATAAAGTCAGACCGGATCGTCCGTGGGCACACTCAGCAATCGGTCGGCAAGATGAAGGCCCTCGTAAGTATTCGATCCGACGATCGAACGCGTCTAGTAGTGATCTTTCATCCGCGCTCTGCTTTGGAACCAAGAATCATCCGAATTTCTCGGATTCGATCGACGTGACGTTGCGACAGTGGCGATTACTACACTATTCTCGTCAATTTTTATAGTCTCGTCGCTTGGATAGTGCTCTATCTCAGTGAAACGAAATTTTTATACCGAGTTTGGTATTAATAATTTCGAACTCTTGTCAGTGTATACATTATCGTACAAGTTGATTCGAACGATCTATAGCTGGCTTTCAAGCGAAGAGACGGAATATTGATGGAAGAAAAATTTCAATAACTTATTGGGGACCATCTTATTATACATTTCTTTCTATAAGTGCAGCCGTGTATCGTTAACGATTTACCTTTCAATGGTTTTAGCTTACTTGTACTCGAAACTTAATGGGACTCGTGCAGGAGTCGCAGTCAAATTAAAAAGCGCGTGCCGTACTTGAGTCGTTACGCTTGATAAAAAAATCGTATTATATAGAAGTAATACCTATTATGTTATAGTATTAAGTTTAGTTCTCTGTATAACGTTTTGTGTGACCAAAGTGAAACTAAACTTCCTTCTATAAAAACTATATATAAAAATAAGAAATACAGAAAGATCTCACCAATATTCGAAATTTCAGTTGATCGTGGCAGTCCTGTTCGCCTTCGCCGCAGCTGAGATACGCCAGCGTCGTGGAGCTATTTGGGGCGGCTACCACGGAGGCTATGGCGGCCATCTTGGATACGCACATGGTGTAGCGGTTGCTGGGCCAGCTCTGGGTCCTATTAGTGTCGCTGGTCCGCACGTGGGGGCTGCTTCGCTGGCTGGTCCAGCTATAGGCCCAGCGAAGCTTTCTGGAGCCGTTTCTGGGCCTGTGCAAGTCTCTGGTGCCGTTGCTGGTTCCGCGGTAGTTACTGCGTCCATTGCTGGTCCCGCCCATGTCGAAGGTTACGGACCCTACGATGGAACTGGCGGTCAGTAATTTTATCGTGTCTATATCGTAAAAAAGGCATCTCTATTCGAAGGTGATATACTGATTGATGTCTAAGTTCTTCCTCTAGTTTAGAGTCTCATGATTTTAACATTATTATTATTTTCTACAATTGCATTCACCATTGTTTTAATCCCCAGGTTTCGCGTACGCAGCTCCTGCATACAGTTACTCTGGGTATCCAGGATACGCAGGTTACGCAGGATACGCGGGACACGCAGGACACGGAGTGGTCGTAGCAGGGCCAGCCTCTCATGGAGCTGTTCTTGCTGGACCAGCGTCCCACGGAGTAGTCCTTGCTGGACCAGCGTCTCACGGAGCTGTCCTTGCTGGACCAGCGTCCCACGGAGCTATTCTTTCCGGACCAGCGTCCCACGGAGCTATCCTTTCCGGCCCTCATTCAGGAAACGCAGCCGTAGCGGGTCCGAGTGCTGGTTCGGTGGTGATCGCTGGTCCTTCTGGTAAAATCACAGCCCATGGAACCGGCCATGGTGGTATCCACACTGGTCACGGACATTGGTAGTGAACACGAACTGTCGAAAAGTATGAAAAGTTTTAGGAAACCTCTCGGTACCACCCACGTCGGTTTACAAGGTCAATACTGGACGTCCCTCTACGAACTCAAGGTGTAAAACTTATGATTTTGATGGTGTTTTGCAACGACTCCCCCGTGCTACATTTGATACTATTTTTTTAATATAATGAGCTGTTACACTAATATTCGATACGAAGAGTCTTTTGTATAACGCTGGAATATATTTTATACATATATCGCGACGTAGAAATTCATAGACTGCCCGCTATTTATGATGTAATTTTAATTTTGATCTCTTACGATAATACACGAACATGATCCAATTACATCTACATAATTGTTAACGCACAAATTTCAGGAATCTCATTATTCGATCGGATTATGTCTTTGTCGCGCGTTACAAGAGAGAGGGTTGATCAGAGCCTGAGCTTTATTGTCGCTTTAAATTCGTTGTCCCTTCCATTTTATCGGGCTGTAAGCAAATTACGTGCACAATTGCACACATTATCTGCCTCTGCCCTGACGAAAGGAGGCCATGTGTCACATTCATGTAATTTCCTGTCCCTTTGTAAACGTGCATCCTTGTGAAACATTGTTGTACATATTATAATGTACTTAATGCAAATTAATTTTAAATACTAATAGAGATGCTCGTATACATTAATAGAAGGACAATTCGATAATTTTAAATAAACATTTATAATTGTTTCGGTCTTTTGATTAGGATCATCATAAAAAGTCGTCTTTATTATTAAAAGTAAATATCGTGTGACGAAATGTTGTATGGAGAAGAAGATTAATGGTTGGAATATAGACCAAATGCTTTCATAGAAATTTTGACACGTCGGTCGTGCTGCAACGCGAAGCAACAATGCGAAACGATCTACGAAAACGTTTGAAACAGTTGATCCTAGATCATTATCGACGCTGTGGTTCGTATCCTTTAGCACGGAGGAACATTTATTGCTGGCTGTACGGTACTACGTACAAGGAACTGGGATCAACTTGAACCGTTGACATAGATCCGACACGTTCGAGCGTTATATTCGAGTGGATAGCCGTAGAAAAGGGTAAGGTCGCTGCAAACGTGACTTACGATACGGTCCGTCAATCTCTGGATAAACACCGGGACTGGCAGGATCAGATTGATCTATAATTAATCACGAATTCTTCGATAGATATTTAGGGGCTCTACTGTTCGCAAGAACATATTGTATCTACTTAATTTTCAATCGGTATCACCGTTGTTCAGCGATCGGTGCTTATATTTGATGATTAATTCGATTGGAAAAATATTTGTAATGACCAGCAAATTTTTAGATTAGTATCATTGTTAGTTGACATTCAAATCTCACGTCCTAATATACCGAATTCAAAATATTCAAATGGAAGCACGGGCAAGGAATTTGAAAGGAAAATGTCGATGGTTGTGTTTATCTTTTTGGTATCGGTTGAAATACTATTTCAAAGTATTTGCTCCGCAGCAAGTTCTGAGTACTGAAAAGGTCTTCATGGACCACTGGTCGCATTCTTATCTACGCGGCAGCGTTGTTCCGGTTAGAGTAAAGGAGAGAGCAAGCATCGATTTTTCCGTCGATCACTTGACACAAGTGTTTCAACGATGGCGACTTGAATAACACTAAACTAACAAACGTCGCGTGCATAATTTACGGAAGGTCGTACACGAGAACGCGAGATTTACAACGATATCTTTCATTGCTTTCGAGCGCGGAGCTTATCGCGCGATCTCTACATGACAATTACCGTGTATTTCTTTCAGCATGCCTCGAAAAACTTTTCGTCCGTGAACCGTTTCAACGCGTTTTTACAAATATAACAATGTCCACTTGAGTCTCCCACTCGGAGTCACTGCACTCTCGCAACCTCGAAAAACAAGCCTGTTCATTTACTTCTAAATAGATCCCTTTTTAGATTTATGACTAAAATCTCTTTCGCACCGAAGCACAGGACGACGTATATCGAGAAGATGGCCCGAGAAAGGGGTTTCATCTTTATGGGAAAATCGTGGCCCCATCGACTGCACTATCCACCCGTTTCGTCATCAATGATTGTGAGAGTACACCGAACCTTCACGAATTCTGAAAGGTTACCTAGTTGCGATCGATCGTCCATCGGACTGCAGCAAACCCACAATTTTATTGATATATAAAAATTTATGGTTCATTTTTTTCTAATCCAGAGACTTCAATAAAATTTCGCTACTAGCCTCTTTTATAATCTTTTTATAGAAAATGTTAGATGCTTATTGAATCGTTGAAAATTTTCGATTTGACTTACACGAAACGAATAATTGTAATACGTTATAGTAACACTGTAAATAGGTAAAACCAGTTTGGTTGTGTAAGATGCTCTTACTTTTATTCTTTCTTTACAAGGTCTATATCTAATATTATATTTCACGCATTTCTATAAAAACTGCCATCTCGAAGAGGTCCATGGCACAGAAGAAGTTAACTGACTAGAGAAAACAGAAATGTGATGCACAGGAACATTCATATCAGAATATTAAATAACGTTGGAGAAATAGAAATTCCGTAATTATTGTAATCGACCGTCTAATGGAAACTTTAAGAAGAGAATCACATGTCTTGCACGTTTTTCTCTCCTTTTCTTTAAATTACCCACGCTGCTATTCCACGCAAGATGATGTATATTCTACGATTTTTATTCCTTCGTGCGTTGTTTAAATATTCAAGGAAATATTGCATGGAACTTTTACGAGACGTAAATTATGAGCAAATGCTTTCAGGACTCGCATCGTTTTTAATCTGGTGATTACCACGGTTTGAAGTTATGCAGAATGTAAATGCATTATTTATTACAATTTCGACATTCATTCGCCGAGCGTTAACTACACTCGCTTAACAATGGCTGTGCATAACTCAACAGAATAAAACGACGTATTTTAATCTAGAAGTGAATGAGGTAGATTTCGATGTAAATGGCGCAGTTTGTTCGTCTGTCTTCGTCTTAGCGATCTCGCGTATTGTGCTAAATTAAACGTAATGCTCAGATAATTCGTTTCAAAAATTGCTACGTGCGTTGTAAAATTGAAAAGATAGTATATTAGGAATATTTACATTAATTGAATTCTAAGTTGTTTCTCGAATGTTTTCCAACAATATTCCACGTTGCAAAACAAGAAAATAATGTTATATAAACGCGTACCAGTTGGGTTCTATTTACCAAGTTACGACAAATCGTAGTATTCTGGACCTATTGGTTCTTTTATTCAAATCTTTCTTTAACTCGTCGCATTTGAGAGTACAAAGCATGGAGAATGTAGATACGTTCGTACGACATTTTTTTCTCATTTTATACTTTAAATTGGTGCTCTAACGTTCAGACACGCGTGTAGCGATGCGTCCAAAATGCCGTGGCTCGCGTTCCAGGAACCGAGTCGAAATTAACCCGGCTGTCACGAGTCACAATCGAGGACAGGTCGTTGGCTACCGTGGACATAGCGCGTGATCGATCTCGCTGGACGTAAAACAAGAAGGCCAGATTGTTTTCGCGTTCCACGCGAACCATTGCGCCGTTACGATCGAGAAAGACAGGTAGCGTGGCCGAGAACGAGGTAGATACGGTTATGGCTGGATCGTTAATGCCTCGTGAGTTGCCGGGGATCGAGGGAGGACGATCGATGAATTCCTCGCCGCCCTTCGATTACCGTCGACGTTGAACGCTGACGTCTGACCCGTGATTCGCCTGAGAATACAAATGTTAGAAGGGAAGTAAAAACACAGAGATTCGTTAAGTTCACGTGATATACCGGGATCGCTTTATACAAAGTGTATCCAAAGGTTCGTCGAAAAACAAATAGACGAAAGGCTAAGTCGATTTATCTATTTGATTAACGTTTCCTACTTTACATTCAATCAGAATTCTACGTTAAATTTAATGCCCGACAAGTCGTAGTTATTACAACCACTGCAAATGTTCGACGATGTAAATCAGCAATATAAATTATTTCGTGCAGATTTTTTTATAATCCTTTAAAGAATTGGGGTGATATATCATTGCATAAAAATGCCGGATAACAGTTGACACATTTATCATTTGTTTCACGCTTTGGAAATTGTAACTTAATGCTTTATTATGTAGACAAAAGTGTCTTTGAAAAACATCACGCATAATTTACTCACAAGGTTCTGTGTATATGATTGGACCATGAAGGGATGTTCTACTAGATATTCTTAAAGCTTGTCACTGGGTCAGACGGTCACAGAAAAATACGACGAGCCTTCGAATACCCCTAACACTTTCGTATGGACGTCGCATCAAAGTAGTTACGTACGGATCGAACGTGTCTAAACGAGGATCTATGGGTATTTAAATATTGATTCGGGACTCGAGATTTATTCAACGTTCTGCTTTCCTTCTTCCCGCGGAAACGTTTCCTAGGATCGTTACAGATGGGGAGAAATAACCTACTATTTTTCTGGAGCAAGTGGGATATTTATATCGCGTGCAACGTCGTGTTTCCAAGTCAGACATTCCGGCCAGAAACGAGTCGAATAAATCTCACGTGTATCGCTGCAATCCGGGAGTTTGATCGTTATTCGCATCGCGATCTATTTTCTGCACTTGCTCGCGAAAATCGAGGAAACATGGACGATTTGTACGCGACGCGTTGTAGATCGAAAACGAAAGTGGAAAAACCGATCCTCCCCCGATATTTCTGACAACTCGTTTCTAGAATCGATATCGGGCCATTTAATAGGTCTCTGTCTATGTTCCGTCGAACATGAATTGGTAATCTGGTGACTGTATCATGTTAACCCCCTTAAATGTTTTGCTATTCTCGGAGAAATGTTCCTGGACGATCAGTAATATCTTTTTCTATGTTTAAATTGGGATTACGTACTTCTAAATTTGGGCACGTCGATCTCGTTAGCAGAATATGTGAACCGACAAATAATTTTAGCACTGACCTACTGTTCTTTAACGAATATGTTACCTTTTGACCTATTATGAGTGAAATCTGTTTCCAGATTTAGAAACAGAGCTAGCTATGCAAGTATAGTTTCGATTCCTACCTCGAGATTCGACGTAGCTATTGGCCACGAGGCGTCGGCTGCGCTCGATTCGTCGTCCACATCCATCGTGGCGATATTCTCGGTTACGAACGACATCGGACGTCGAGATGATTCTAATTAAATCTTAGCTTGGCGATTCAGCGGTGTGGGCACGTTCCCTCCTGGTAGCTCCCTCCCCTAACCGATCGGGTAGCAGCCGTAGAAATCGTCGACGGAGGCCACCGAGATTCCGAACGGCGACTTTCCATCAGCCATCACGGAGGAACATTGTCGTGCAAGCTGATGCTAAGTGAGCTTTTATAGCTGTCTTACGCGGAACACGTGGGTCGGTGAACTTATCGGGGGTAAGGGCGGGGCTGCTCCCGCGATCCGTTGGACCGTGACGGGGTGAAAAAGCCCCCGACCGTTCTAACGAAAAATGCAAACACCGTGACGCAACCTTCGATCAAATTGGAGGCACTGACCACGCCCAGATAAATAGTCCTCAGTTCGAAGATTCCAGTTCGATTTTGACAAAAATATGACGTGAAAATATTTCCAATTTCTTTATGATTAATGAAACAAAATCCAATAAGATGATCACACCTTTAATAAATAAAAATTAAACGTTTGAATCAAAATTTCGTTGCCGATAGATTCTGTAAACTTCTCAAATTCCTGAAACGCTTTATTCAAACGCCCGTTCTTTTTCAATGCGAACAACAGAACATCGAGATACCAACACAAAACTAATCGAATACATCTGTAATTCTAGCAACAATACGCGTCATGACTTTTCTGCAATAATGTACGGTTACGGGCGCAGCAATTCGGTAGATTTGTCATTTTTGAACACAATTCCATCGTCACCGTGTTAACTGCAGCTTTTCTCAAATTTCTCGCGGGATAAAAATAGAGCGCCCGCTGTCGTTCGAGCAGAGCCGATCGAATTTGTAACGGTATTTCCAACAATTTTCGATCGAAATAACACATCGTGCAGAACGACGGGCTCTGCTTTGACTACAATCAACGATTGTCAGCAATCCGCGTTTCTAAACGGTTCTGGTAATCCTCTTCCGTCGCGTTTCGGCTTTGTAATGGTGTACCTGCTACAGGATTCGACGATTCGCATTATTCCCGCAAATATAACGGGAGCCGGTATTTCGAATCTATTTTCAGAATGACGACACAATCAGTTTATCAATATTTCTCTACATGCACGTCTTCCATATCGAAATACAATTTCCACTATTTCACCAAAATAAAAAATAATACAAGTAAGAATCTACCACGAAACAAATATATTAGAATAGTTGCGGTGTAAAATTATTTTTTAGTTGTAGAGTGTATTCTGTTATACTTATTTCCCAAGAAGTCGCAAAATAAATTCATTAAAACGTCCCGTTAACGAGGCGCTGGGGGACATCTGCGTTCAATGGTTGTAAAAGAAGAAGGTTCAATTGCCAGAAAATCTGTAGCATCGTTTACGGCCTCAAAGTACTCTTTTACGAAACGACGGCACTTTTATTCACGCCTCCGCGAATAAAAGTAAGGGAATTCGTCCGTGTTCTTCTAAACGAGGCGTGGCATTAAAGTCGCCCCCTGAAGTATTTCACGGGACCGTGGAACAATTATTCGAACAATCGCGTCGCCGGTCACCTTTGTCACCTTCGAAAGTGCACGCAACGCCCAGCAATGATATTCCAAACGATCCGTGGCACGGTCGGTGATCCATTGCGAGGCTGGTGCCACCGTAACACACGCGTATCCAACTACAATGACACCGTCATTCCAGGCGACAATCGGGGACATCGACGCGTGGGCAACGCAGCCCGTGCCTCGCCTAAACGGATGCACAATGCAACGCATAATGGCCTGACTGCCGATGCGTGCTCGTGCTCACCTAATTCAACGTCTCTTCGTCGCGAAAACCACCGAGACAGAGACGAGACGCGCGCGTCGTCTTCTTGACTACGAAGGTCGACGACGACTGCTGGCTTTGTAATGACCGTGATATTACATCTTCGGGACGCGACTAAGATCGCGAACGGAACCTGCTGCGCGAAGACCTTCCTTCGATCCTCAGACCGGAGTCAAACAAGCATCAAAACAATGGATGTTCTTATGTCTTTCTATTTTTCAGTCTAGAAGAAATAGATTTATGACTCTAGTTTGTTTCTACTATTGGCACCCTAACGAATTAATACAGATTTACAACCATCGTTAATTTACAATAGATCTTGATTTTTGTACGAATTTTTTCTGATAGTTTTATTAACCTGTACAATGCATCTGATAGGGTTAATACGATAAGATGCACAAGGTTGTGTTGTAAAACTTTGCTATTCTAAAGATGGTTTCATACCAAAAACAAAACGTACCTGGAGGAAGTACACCAGGCAAAAAAAAAATACTTTCACAAAACAAACAATAAATGACTGTCTCATCCAGGTTTGCAGTCGGTTACGTTACACAATAGAGGGCTAATTAATAAAATAATCTACTTTTCACCTTTACGCACACACCGACCGAATCACCACCGAAACGTGGAGGCGAGAAAAGAAGTCAGGCTAAGAATTCTATTGTGCAAACGTTATCTTTTGTTTCATCTGTCTTTCTGGTTGAAAGGGTGCCACGTATTCAGCAAGGTTAGCAATCGTAAAAACGATTGGAAACGGATGCAACAGTTGAATTGGAGCACGTGACCCCTGTAGCCACGGACAAGCTGCCGAGGCGTTGAGCGTTGTCCGCGTGTCGCGAGCTCGATGTCTGACTTAATGCTGATAAGCCATGAAACGGCCACGCGCCCAACCCGCAGAGAATGTTTGGCGTGTCCTGTGCCCCGCCCTTGGGGTTGGCGGGAGCAGCAGAGACCAAGACCGCGGCCAATTCTCCTATAAAAGCACCATCGAAGCCGTTCGATGACAGCACATCCACTCCAGCCATCGAGGTAAACTCATCTAGAAGCTTCGCAGCAAATCCCTTCAAACACTCCTTTCAACATGTGCACCCTGGTACCGGTCTTCTTCCTGGCAGTCATGTCGGTAGCGACGGCAGCACCCTCGGGTCTGTTGGCGCATGGAGCCGCGCTGGCTGGACCTCATCTGGGCCCTTCGGCCCTCAGCGGACCTGTCGTGGGACCTTCCGCCCTTGCCGGACCTGCCGTTGGACCTGCTCACCTCTCTGGAGCTGTCGATGGCGGCGCCGTGGTCACTGGAGCCGTTGCTGGCCCTTCGGTCGTCTCTGGAAGTGTCGCTGGAGTCGCCGCGGCGGCTCCATGGGGTGCAGCGGCTCCATGGGGAGCAGCGGCTCCATGGGGAGCAGCGGCTCCATGGGGCGCTGTTGCGGCTCATGGCGCTTGGTCGCCTTGGGGTAAGTACTTGTACAATAATAGTACAGTTTGACAGACTTTTAGATTCGAAAATATTTTGAGATTTGTTACTCCTCCATCGAGAGACATTGTAATTTTTGGATCAAGCGTGGATATTTCTGATATTTTTCGATATCTTCAATAGTTACGGGAACAGCGTTGATTGCACTACAAAGCGATATATTCGTAACAAGAGACGATAGTATCTAATCCTCGAACGCACCGTACGGACTCGATCTCGACAATAGCCGATAAATCCGACCACGCGAAGGAACATGATTTTTATCGCTCTTCCGGGTGCGCAAGGTCTTGAACGCGACACCCGATCGCTCGTTACTTGTCTGAAATGTCATGTTTTATCACTGGTCGTGATTTCGAAGTGCAATGATGCTTTATGTGTCACTGACATAGCAAATTTGAGGGTCCTTTTCACTACGGATTAGTCCAACATTCGATTCTCAGATTTCGTTATGTAAATTCTTGCTGGTGTTAGGTAATGTTCGTATTAATAGGACGACGTATGTTTTCAGGTACAGTGTTGGCTGGCCCAACATCGCACCCCGCAGCCGTCGCTGGCCCCGTTGCTGCACCAGCACTCATTGCTGGACCATCCGGTAGCATAGCAGCTGGACCAGCCGGAGTGGGAGGAATCGTCAGTGGAGCCCCACACTGGTAACCATTTATGCCGGACAACCAACTCCACGACATCTTCGACTGATCTCCCCGATGCCCGCCATTTTGAGACCGACCGCGCCACGATCTCCGTCATTTACCGCTAGTACCTCTCATCATTGTATCTTTTATATGTATTCTGTGTACATAACAATTATTCATATATAATATTATATATAATAATAAACGCATGCCACTTTGGACAGAAACTGGTTCACAGATTTTTCCATCGTTCAATCCTTTACCCATCATTTTTCTATTAACCCTACTCTTACGCGAATCTTCCAACCTGGAATAGTACCACCCCCTACAATTTATTTATTTTATAATATTACAATACGATTCATACATTAAGAAAAGCTAATTCTCTGCATAAAGTAATTATTATCACTAAGTAGGTGCCTAAATTTTTCTCCACAAAAAAAAAATTATTTTTAGTTGCGGGGGTTATTTGCAATCATTTTTGGTGAATAGACATACCCTCGAAATTCTACGCACTTTCGAGAAAAAAATTCGAGTAGGTAGACAGATTTTTCGGCGAAATTAAAAAATTTCAAATCACTCTGAAAAAATTATTTTCGATTGCGGGGGTCAATTACGATCATTTTTTATGAATACATATATCCCCAAAATCCTATGTACTTCCGAGAAAAAAATTCTTTACCGAAAATACAATGTGTGGTCAGTCAAAGTGTTAAAGTCAAGCAACTGCACTATAAATTTTTTCAAAATATGAGACGTCGTAGACGCGCAGATGCTTACAATTTCTCAGTCGAAGTGTCAAAGCAAAGACACTGCAGACCGTGTCAACATTTGCGATGAAAGTCCAAACGATTCGAGTCCATTGTTCTGCTGGTACGCTATATCTCCTCGAAGGCCGTCGACACTGGCGTGGCCGTCCTCTATTTCGCGGTCCATTGTATCGACGTCGGCGTCGGGGCGCACCGTGGGACGATACCTGTCCACCTTTGCCGGTAATTGGAGGAAATTGCTTCAACGCCACTCCAATCAGCCGAGTATTCTCTCTGTCAGGGGAGCGACAGCACCGGATCCCGCTGATATCCGAGCATTTCCCCTTTAGCTCCGTCCATGGATACTCTCGAACGACGCTACATCGTCGTTTTCTTCTTTTAATCTTCGTTTTCAATCACACTTGTCCATGGAAAATGCAGCAGCACGGATGCATCGCGTAACTCTTTCCTGATGGCGGAATTCCTCGGAAATTCTCCAAGCACAATGAGTAAAAACCCATTGGCACGCCTCTTTTTTTTAATATCTTTACTCCTTGATGCGATACATTAATATGAACTATGTTCTTTAATGTTGAAAAATTATTGGCAGACTAATTATTAATTTTGTATTTAGAATATCTTTGTAAGATAATTGCACCCTTCGAGCTTAAAGTTACCGCTACTAAAATTCTATGTATTTCACAAAGTAAACGAACAAAGTAAACTATAATATGTAAAGTTTAATTTGAACTGCTTTATAGACCTTCAAAGTTTCGTCAGAATCTAAATGGGACGCTCCGCGGTTGTCCCTTGCCAGAGGAAATTATTAGCGCCACGTTCGCGCGTATTACCATCTCAAAGGCAACCCACCGTCTGCGAAAAATAAGCGAGGAGCAACAAGTCCGATCAGTCGTTAAATCGAATAGTTTATGCAGGAAAACTGTTGAAGCACTTATGGTTGAGAAAAAATCAGACACGCAGGACCCTTGACTATACTTGGAACATAAAATTTAGAAAGTGGCAGAACTATAAACAGTTTGGCATTGGTCTAAAAAAGTCTAAAAATGTTTAATCCCACTGGCCTACTTTTATATTTTTGAATTAAAATAATTTTACACACGCCCGGTAATTTTGATTGCATAAGCTATTCTTTGATTAATTTTCAGTAAAACTAGGAGTGTGAAAATGTTAGTTGGTTTTTGCTAAAAGAGACAAAAACATTTTTTAAAATTATAGAGTATATGGGTAACATACATATAGGTTGATACAGACATGCTTCGTTTGTTGTTTCGGTCCATTGTTTGGTTTACCGTTAGTACCTCTCAAATTATTGGCCCATGATTGCAAGTTATAGTTTATGTTTCCTGATGAATCTCAGTAACAATTACATTTTATAATCAACGACAGAACTAATAACACTTGTCGAACTCTGTTCTCTGGTTTCTGTCCACTAAAATTCACGCGCGTTGACCCGGTCGATAGTTACAACGTACTAAACGGAAATTCCGTGTACTGTTGATATTGGTTCCGCAGTCGACCGAGTCATTAGCCACCAATTAGTAATTTCGCCGAACTGTGCAATTCGTTACTATCGAATCGACTATGACGCGTAAGAACACTCGACGTCGCTACGGGGTTGCAAATCCGTAGGAATTACGAGCACATTCCCGACGTTCCTTTGCTATCTCAAAGCAACACTTCCACCGACGAAATCAGGCTACCGCGCAACAAGTACAGAGAGAGAGTCCTTAAATCGAATAATCCTGGTGCTCGCGAGACGCTCGCGAATCCTGTAAACGCCTGGATTACGAGCGACGCCCCTCCGCTGTTCGAGTCAGCGCTCAAAATTTATTGTGTTTAGCGTAATCGAGTTTTGGGATCTCCGCGAGTTCCGCGATACTTAGTGTCGAGCACCGTGTGCAATTAATCCACGAGTCGACACCGAGCTTTGACGCGGAGGGACTATGAGTCGTCTTTTCGACGTGGCGTTTAATAGCACGCGCAGACACTCGGCGGAGAAATTCTTCCGTATGGAAATATAGGTCGTGCCCAACGGTTAACGGACGTGACATTTCCCGATGGAAAAATAGGTGGAAAGCGGGAGACGAGATTCAGGGTCGACGCGGGGTATAAAAGCTGATATCACGGGATGAATTGGCAGTTCCACCATTGACCCGACAGTCAGTACAGCGGTAACACAAAGCAACAACCATGATGTTCTTGGTAAGCTTCTTCATCTATTTTCTGTTGTTTTTGCAAAATTTATGGACTCCATGCGTCCAGACTGCAGAGTCGGCCAACTTTGTCCTTTGAACTATGTCGTCTTCATAAAGTAACATTCGTGGGTATACGTAGAAAGGATATACGTGCTAAATTCTATTCATCAGGCTTTTCTCGCGGTGTTCGCGTCGGTCTGTACGGCTGCTCCTAGCGGACTTTGGGCCCCAGGACTGTGGAGCCCAGTTGTGCACGGAGTAGGAGTAGTCGGGCCCGTGGCAGGGCCAACGGTTGTTGCTGGAGCAGCGACCGGAGCCGTCAAAGTAGCTGGGCCCGTTGCTGGGCCAGCTGTGGTCACTGGAGCCGTGGCTGGTCCCTCTGCTGTCATTGGTTCGGTAGCTGGACCCACTGTGGTTTCTCAGCCTGGTCTGGGTGCCGTAGTTGTTGGTAAGAGTTAAACATTTCCATATTCGGGGGCCTTTCTTTAGACTAGAGATGTTGAACAATTTTTAAATGAAATACTCCACTCCCAAATATTGAATCCTTTGGCTCAGTCAGTGATATTAATAAATCATCTTTCAGGCGGTGGAGTCGTTGCACCTGCAGTGGTAGCTGCACCTGCGGCTACGGTCGTTGCTGGACCAGTAGCCTCAGCGGTCGTCGCAGGTCCATCAACATCTGCGGTCGTCGCGGGTCCTGTGACGAAAACAACGGTTGTCGGTGCCTCATCCTCGGCAGTGATTACCGCAGGCCATGGTTGGTAGTCGAGTAAAAAAACAAGTCTTGAAGTTATATGATGTACCTCATGCCTGACTCAGGATTACAGTGACAACGTTTTACTCTACTCCCACTTGTATGGCACTGCCAATGTATCCCGAAACATGTACGCTTATATAAATGTAACTACGTGACTGTACGAATAAACGAGATTATACCCAAATTGCAACTGTTGAGAATATTCTCTGCAACAACGTGACAAAACTTTAAATTAAAAAATATAGACTTATGAAATGGCTTGGGACAAGATATTATAGATATTGGACCGACCTATATCCGTTGTACCGTTAGTAGCTACTGCAATTGCAATCGGAAATCGTTCTATCAATCTCTACTTCCGTAATTGTTCACCTAACCTTCGATATCCTTATCTCTATGAACGTAGAATTTCTATCCTTCGAAGTACGATCGAAGGTCGGTACGATGGTAGGTTGTACTACTGACAAAGCGCACTACAGTGAGAACCTTTCGTTTCTTGCTTTCCTTGCAGTCGCAAAATTGCTGATCCCCAACAGATAATGAACACGATACCAGGGAACTACTTTATTTCCAAAGCTAAAGTATTTAGTATTTCACTTGCGTTAAACTGGCTGCATGTCACGTTTCTCGAGCGATCGATAGAGCTACTGGTATTAGAGAAAGTGACGTAGGCATAAAAGAATCAACTGCATAGCTCACTATTGTTCGATAATCGACTGTCACGGTGCTGCTGGATGAAATAATTCCCGCCGTCAGTTACATAGACGCCAGCTACAAAAGAAATCGTTACTCGTTTTTTTCTTAATGAATAAACATTTATTCCCCCGATACAACATGAATTTTATTCCTCTTTCAGACGCCTACCACCCATTATTTATATTTACTTGTTACGTATACTAGGTAGCCAATGTGTTGACTTAAATTTCTTTTAACTTTTGTTAATTTTCGAATAATTCAACTGAATTACTTTAAGTTCCATCAAATTTGATACGATACGATTGAGCGATATTCCATGTAAGATTTCTTTCGCCCAAACAATTCCTCCAGCTTGCAACATCGAAATGCTCCTACTCCATCCGGAAACACACGTTCGCGTAACTATTGTTATCAGACTTTCGATTATTTTCATAATCAAGGGAACACGTTCGCGAGACACTCCGAGAAACATCCCCGAGGATCGCTAATTGCTTCGAAGTATTTCCCGGAGCTTCGACGCTGCGTCGTCGCGGGAATTTCGAGCAGAATATCCGGCGAGAGCGTACGCTCGATACATCGCGAATCAGCTCTTAGCCAATCGTAGACCAACACCGCTCCTACACAAAAAGGCACGTACGGATAATTTTGCAACTGCACACGATTTGCAGCTGAATGCGCTTA